TGGACCACCATGGAGTTCCTTTAAAACTTTTTATAAAGCCCTATCGGTCGCTTGAATCTTAAAAGACCAAGGGATTTAAACATAAGAAAAAAAGTCATAAAATTGGCAAATCATGATTATTTGTATGATTTTGGTAGAGACCGCATAAGAATAATTTTCGTCATTGATATAATTTCCCTTCCACCGCCAACAATTAAGGACCAAAGATGACAGAATAAAAACTATTTTAACCTGGAAGATAAACAAGCCATGAGTGTGTGAAGTTTTAAAAAAAAGTAAATTAACAAGTAAAGAAGAAACATTTTCAAAGTATTCTCTATTTTCATTTATGGAAAGAGGACCCCACATAGTCAATATTATTTGAAGATTCTTTGTAGATAGTTAGATTATTTTGGTAGTCATGACAATAAGATTTCTAAATGAAATATATAGATATTAAAAACATCTGTTAAAAATAATCTTTATGATGTTGGAGCAGATATTGTTTAAAGGAATAAATATTTATTTCTTTAGAAAGGTCAAACATGAGTTTTATAATGTTCAAATAATGGTGAGCATGTAAGATGCTTTTTACCTGAAGAAAATAGCGCCATGTGTAAAATAATATGACATGAAAGTAGTAAAATGTAAATAAAGTAGTATTTTGACTTACATTCAAAATAATAAATCACTATAAATGTATAAATTACCAAAAAGCAAAAGAAAAAGACGACAGTTTAGATAATTGGCCAATGAGTAACTTGTTAAACTATAAAAGAATACCAAGAAAATGAAAAGATTTGACAAATAAAAATAAAGCATTGCTGGGCCATAATGGGCCTTTAATACAAAGTGTGCACATACTAATAGACGAACAATGATTGATGTAATACGTTCAATTTCAGCACTTTAAGCTGAAAATTAAAATTTGAGAATTAACATATTCATTGGTATTCACCTGGAAGTAGGAGTTGTCCCCCTTTCTGTACACAGACAAAATCGAAAAACATATCGGTGACAGGGAGATTTATCAGCTATGTAGTTTTGCAGCTCAGTCTCTATATAATTTCATCAACGAAATACGTATATGGTTGTAAAGGCCGTATCGCACAGTATCCATTTGATAATGTTACATAAAATTCATATCATTGTTGCCAATGTGAGCATGGTAAGTTAAGTAACTCATATTGAATTCAATATATATACGCGCACTGATATCACATTTACTCAATGTACAACATTAATTGTAAATGTTGCTTATTCAAGATAGTTGAAAATACTAAATGTATATTTTTTTACTGTATTGTACTGATTGTTACTTAACGACAATAGTTACTTTTGAACTCATTATATTATATAGAAACTATTCCACGATGTATATTATTATTGCTGTCGATGTGGTTTAATGTATATTTAATATATGATCAATAAACTATGGTGTTCCGTTTGGACAATCGTGTTTTTTTAATTTCGTCCTTACCCGCGATGCACGATGGTACGACGATGAAACAATTTTTGTCAATGTATTTCATGTTGTTCTACTGTATATCTAATGTTTCATCAATGTATAAGATATTGTTGTCAATGTAGTTGATATTGTTCTAAGTATATCGAAAGTTTAGTTAGCGCACACATTATTATTTTAAATGAAGTTCATGCACTTTTTGGTGCATCTTATGTTTTCTTGGTGCACATTACATTGTTGTCAATGTATGAGTAGTTCACTGTGCTCAATGTATATCTAATGTTTCATTGGTGTACATCTCAATGTCAATGTAGTTTACTGTGCTCTAAAAGCAGGACAGTGACGGTTTGTACAGTTATTCTGCATATATTCAAACATGTTGATAAAAAATATTTTATTTATTTTATTCTGAATAAATGTCTTAAAATGTTAACTACAAATGATAACAATAATTAAAAATAAACAACCGTAAAAACCAGTCCAATTTTTTAATTATGATATATACATGTATGTGTTGTATGTACGACTTTTCTTACCTTATTCAAAAACAGGTGTTTTGCACGTGCATGAGAATGCCAGCTGTAAAAAATGCCATATATAAAACATTTCTTTTTGAAATTAAAATATGCTAGTTTTGAGTTTTTTGCGCAGGCGTGCTTCCTTGTCGTGGCATTAACTGCACGGTTTTCTCGTTTTTCAACATGACGTGACAGACGATCCGTCATAGCCTACTATTTTGCCCATTAACTGCATAATTAAAGTCAACTAATCTTTTTGTAGAAGAATAATTATCTATTATATCATTTCTTTGAAAACCAAATTGTATTTTCGGATGTTTTTGGCCTTTTTCTGCACGCATTTTACCTCGTTTTGAGCCAAGGTCTCGCGTCAAGCAGCATTTCGTTGACAAGGGCATAGTATTGTCTACAATTTTAGAAGATGATCTGTCATGCATTTTGCTTTGCAAATTTAAATGTCCGTGTGTTTTTATGTTTTTGAAAATACTCGTGTTTCTTTAAAGGCAAAGTTACTTGTTTGTCTTAGCCACGCCAAGTTCATTTCTTTTAAAAATATTTCCTTCACATTACAGTATATGCGTCAAGTCACTAAGTTTACATAAAAATAATTTTAACGAAATGTTAGAATAAAAAATGATTAATTAAAATTTAAAAACTTTTTTAACATGTTTATTTTTGCCCCGTCTGTTGTTTCAACTTACTTGTCTAAACAACATCCCTGACTTAAATAAAAAACGTACGGTTGTCTCATAAAAACATTGTATTTGCGAAATTAACCGCCACTAGGTTAAAAATACATGTAAAATATATATAGAAGATGTGACTGGAAAATTGGAAATGTATACTATGAAGAGTTAGAACATTGTGAAAAATCAGGGCAAATCCACATTTATAGTTAAAATATAGCATTGAATATTGATGTTAATCTCCTCCATGTCGTTATGTTTACACAAGTAACAAAATTGCAATTTCAGTAAAATTATATTCAATATCATTATTTTAGGTTATCTATATTTCTTTATATTTGTTTATAAGAATACATGTTCATACAAAGTTTGCTTATCAGCATATCAAAAAGAAAAATAACAATCATCATGAGATTTTCATTTTACACTAATTCAAGAAACATAACTCGTGATAGCATGTTGTCAGTTACTGAAACATTTGTCTCCCTTTGTCTGGAAATTTAGAGAAGAACCATTGAGAAAGAGCAAGGTTCACTAACCATAGATTTTTGCCCTAGATTTTGGCAAAAATTAATTCTATGCATATGTTTTGTTTTCCAGTTTTGTTTATAAGTTCAATCCTTAAACTATTAAAAACAATTAAATTTTCAGTCATATGTTTACATTTAGTATGATTTATGGTCAATTGAAATACCCCTATTTCTAGCAAAATTATGAAAATTCACGATATTTTGGGTTCAAAAAGAAAATTAAAGTATCAGCACAGTCCAGCCCGAAAAAAAGATTTACACATTTGCATTGTAGAGTATCAAAGGCTTCTAGTTATATAGGATTAAAGTTGGGGCTTGCCTGTGCTCTAATACAAAATTGAAGTTTAACCTAATGTCTTGGCGTTATTTTGTGACATTGTTTTCATTAAATGCAGCTCATAAAGCATATAAACGGGACTCTACACTATTTGATTTTGTGCTTAATTATTAAAATATGTTTCATTAAAATAAATAAAAATAACATATGCACGTAAATCATTTTTAATAAATTTTTATCAGTTTCAAAATAAATCGAGTACGAATGAATTTTGGTACGAGTTTCGCCGGTTTCCACTGCGACTGATGTAAACAAAGCACTGACAGGTAAGCTTTTGCTGTTTTAAATGATTTTTAGTAATGTAAATATATGAATAAGTGCTGATATCCCATAATTACTTTCCTTAGACATCTCATTATTAAATTAGCAAGGAGCTAAGTAAGTTTATTAATTTAAAAAGATACTTTATCTCAGAATAACCAGTTGTTCGTGTTGGTTTTTTTTCAGTGAAAAAAAAAAACCGCTGTTTAAGAGGTTTTCTTACTCATTTAAAGGTTAGAGTGAAGACTTCAATTAAGTTTGTGTGTGTAAATATTGAAAGTGAAAAAAAATGAAATAGATCTACTGTATTTATTAGTATTTATTTAAAACTTAAAGGCACATCGTCTGCAAAATGTTTACCGCTTAGTTTATGTACAAGTACTCGTTAAATATCTTGAATTTATCACAAAGCTGTCGTGGCCTAGTGGTAACATAGCTGACTGTCACGCAGGAGATCCGAGTTCAAAACCTGACTTTTTCAAATTTTTTTCTCTCTCTCATTTAAATATAAATATCTTTTTTTTTTCATAATAAATAATATAAATAGTCGTATTGAAGTAAACAATAAAAAAAAAATGATTTCATTACATGCATTTTTTTCTTCATTTTTTTTTTATCATTTTAAGTCAATGCTTATCAAAAGGCCTATTATTCAGGATTTGTTTGTTAGTGTTGCAAAATGTCATAGATATTATCTAAAACAGGACTTAATATTTTTTCAGAATGGTCAAAAACTATCCTTGCATTGTATGCAAAAAGCGGACAAAGTCCAGGGACAGGCGCCCTCCTACCTTACCTGTAAGGAAATTTCTACAGAAGGAATTGGGGATAAGCCCAGCCGCAGATGATACAATATGCAGTGCCTGCAGAACTAAGTTCTATAAAATGTCTAAGTCACAGATCCCCGCCACGGGCAGTCACAGCAACACTGATAGCCGGCTTGATAGAGATACCGACTACGCCCCACCTTTAGCAACATCATCAACGAAGCCAATATGTAGTCCCCGTCTGTGAGTGATTTTTTGGGGTTTTGTCTTATCAGTAAAATTATTTTTGTAAAAAAGTATGTCAATTGACTGAATGACTTTAGGCTGACAAGAAGCTTGCTTTTAATGATATAGACTAATAATGATACGCAGGAATATTTATTATAAGATAATTATAATGCAACAATATTTATTATAAGACAATACTAATGTATCCTCTGGTAGTTTAACACAATATATGATTTCGCAACACATACAATCCGAACAACGGTTTATTGTATTGCAAAATATGGTATATTTATAAATAATTAAATCTCTTGTTTCAGGTGACGCTCAAAATCTCTACCACAAGTCGGAGTCACTCGAGGTGCTTCGTGTGCAAGCGTCCGGGACCAAAACTTATTAGCTTGTCGGCAGAGGGGCGAGTCAAAGCTTTTATTGAGCACAACATTCTGATCAACGTAGATGCCAGATGCTGTCCTGGTCATACTTCTGATGGGTTTATTTTACCAATAGCAGTGAGTACAATACATTCAGTGTCCAGCCAGTCCCTACTGAGTCGTTCAGCCATAAACGACTTACTTCAAAAAATGCGAATGGCGTGTACCGCTCAGCAATCATCATTGAGTTTTGATAGATTAAACGAAAGTGACTACCCCTCATTAACGGGCCTATCTAGAGAGCAGTTTGATGATGTTTGTCAACACTTATCTGATAAAGTTAAAAACACGCCTGTAAGGTCTGCTAGAACGAGTATTGGACTGCTCCTTGTCAAACTGTATTCTGGAATGTCAAACAAGCTACTGGCAACCATATTTGGCATAACTAAGTCCAGTGTCAGAAGAGCAGTATCAACCGTTCGACAAGCTTTTATGAGGGGCTTTGTGCCTCTTTATTTAGGTATTGAGGCATTAACTAGGGACGAAATCATCTCTCAGCATACGCGTCCATTAGCAAAGTCATTGTTTGGAGCTGAGAACAGCCTGATTCTTGTGTTGGATGGGACATATATCTACATTAATAAGTCCAACAACTTTGCGTTCCAGAGACGCACATACAGTCTACACAAAGGACGTTCATTGATAAAACCCATGGTCATAGTAACCACAACTGGACACTTTGTGGCAATTATTGGCCCATATTTGGCAGATTACAAGAACAATGATGCCGCTATTCTCAATCACATGCTTAGATGTAACATTGATAACTTTAAGGATTTACTACAAGAGGGAGACGTGTTTATTGTTAATCGAGGGTTTCGGGACTCCCTTGAACTACTAGCTGACCTCGGGATCCAAGCAGAGATGCCCACCCTGTTGTCAAAAGGACAAAAGCAGATGTCCACAGAAGACGCAAACACAAGTCGGCTCGTGACAAAAGTGAGCTTTTAATAAAATACATTTGTACTAAATTAAATATAATTCAGCTTGTACAATACATGTATACTTGCATTAAAAAATACAGGATTTTTTATCATTAACCATATAATTTTAACTAATTATAGATTATTTGGACTGAAGTGTACAGTTTTTCGTGCCTGAAAAAAAAGAAGTTATATTTGACCGAGGACAATATTGTCCTTAAAAGTAGATATAATCTACTCTTTATCTGTTCAAAAAGAAAGCACACACACAGAAGGAAAAAGTACTTTATTTTGAATGTTCAAAACATAAGGCTACAATTGAAATATCGTATACCATGGACAACAATGTATATCTATATGTTTTTTTTTAATATTGTATTTACCGCTGTGTTTCAAAAATTAAAAAAGCTATGTTTCATTGCTGTTAATAAATTATATTTATCACTGATAATCAAAGTCATCTTAATAATGATATGACATCTTTTTGATATCAAAATTTTTAAAAAACTGTTTCCACTGCATAATTTTTTTAAAGATTCAAAGTTCTTTTAGTCACGTCTACCATTTTTTTAACAAATGAACGTTTTTTTAAAAGGGCATACGATATTTAATCTTTAAAATTTAATTTTTGTGTTTCCAGGGAAACAAGTGTTTTCATATGTAGATTGTCTGATTTTACGCTAACATTAACAATTATTTTCATTAAACTTGTACTATAAAGTTGAAATGTTTTTCACGCTTACAATTTATAGGTAAAATAAGTTATTATTATTGATTTATTTTACAAGCACTTTGTAAGTATAATTATTTGAAAGTTAAAATTTAATTGTGCATTTAGATAAACAAATATTATGTGTAAGTTAAAGAAACATTTAGCCTAAGAATTTAACAAACTTAATGGGCCTTTAATGCTTATTAAAATTAGGAAGACAGGACTGAGATAATTCAAACCCAGTACAAATTTTTCTGGAAATATCTTTTGACAAATATGTTTTAGATTGTTATTAATATTTATTAATAAATATAATTATTCCAAGTAATGTAAGTTAGAACTATATGTTTCTTTTTACAGATCCGATGGGTTGTGGAATCTGCAAATGCACGGATAAAGCGTTTCAGGTATCTTGATCATGTTATGCCAAACAGCCAGATTCCTTACATTGGGGATTTTGTGCGAATTGTATGCGCGTTATCCAACAAATACATGCCACCTTTGAGTTCTCCTGCTTCAGTAGAAAAAGATGAGGCCATTGCTGCCAAGATGCTTGCCCAGTGTGGTAAGGTTAACACATTGAAACAGATGGTAGAAGAAAAAAAACTGCCTAAACGGGGAAAATGTTGGAAGCAAGCTGATGAAATATCTTTAGAAGGCTTCCCCAGGATAAGCGAGGAACAACTACGGGAGCTTACTCTTGGTGTTTATCAGCTACGACTTAGCTCAAGCTACATCCAAGAACACCTAGACGGCAACTGTGATTTATACTTCTTTGCGGAGGATCCGTCTCTTTTGTGTGTTAAAATGCAAAGCCGGCATGTAAGCAGCCGAAACTACATGCTGTGGATTCGCTACACAAATGATAACATCGACGCATGGTACTGTCTTTGTCGGGCAGGTGCACGTGTTGTTGGAATGTGCTCCCACGTCTCTGCCATTATATGGTACCTGGCATACAAACGGTACGAGGATGGTTCATCGGTCGGAGTGAGAAATTGGGGCGACCATCTCGCTGATGCAGCGGTGTTTGAAATAGATGGCGACTCAACACAGAGTGAAAGTGAACTTTAGATAAAAAAGTAATAGGAACAATGTTAAATCTAACATATTGAATGTAGATTTTCTTAGTCTTCAAATCTGAAATGATGAACATATGTGCCATTTATGTATAAACATTTATTAAGAGGATATTGTTTTCGTTTTTCATGAAATATGGAAACATGATAAAATTCCATTTATTTTCAATAATTTTAAAAATAACAATAATAATCATTGGATGATTAAAATAGGAAAATTCAACATTTATTAATGAAAAATAAACAAGCTACATTATATAACAATAGATTATATAGATAACAATCAGAATTTACCGATAGAAATAATGTTCACGCAAATTTTCTAAATATCCGAATTTGATATATCCGAAATATGTATAGGGAATAAATGGTTTATATTAATTTTGTAAGCAATAGTCTTTTTTATCTAAAAGATACTTTTATTATTTAGATATCAACAATATATCATGAGTTTATTTATATATATGTCAGTCAAATACACAGTAACATAATTTTATTTGAAAAATTGCTATGAAATTGGAGATTTAATTGAACGAACAGGTGCTCTAATTAAGACGACATTGTGACGTCATAGTAACTTGACCTGCTTAAAAAAGGTCCATTCTGAAAACGTAACACATAGTGCTATATGATGTTTAGTTTTTATCAAAATCTGAGGTGGGGCCATTTTTGGTAGTTAGTGAACCTTGCTCTTTGTTTATCTAAACAAATTTTGATAATTTTGGATGTTGATACTTTTTAATAGTGAAGACAAATTTTCATAATTTGAAATAGTGAAGGCAAATTCTGATATTTTTGAAATTATTAAGAAAAAATGTGCTACTTTTTGAAATGTTGCGACAAATTTTGTTAATCCTAAAATAGCCGAGACAATTTTTTATAATCCTGAAATTGTTGAGACAAATTTGTATAATTTTTAACTTTTAGACACGCAAAGACCTGGATGACTTCAATATAAGACGAAACCAAGTATACAAAAAGTCGACATATTTGACAATTTATTTATTTCAACTTACATAGGCCCGAAATAAATAATGAGAATTAAACAAGTTTAAGCTATTTATGAGTTAAACTGATAACTCTCAACATTTACTATGGCAATAAGAGGAATAAATGACAACAAAATGGTTTAAAGGCACATTATGCCTCAGAAATCATTACTTTTTAATTCTTAAGAAATGTCAAACATGTATTTGAATAATGGATTTAGAGCATATTAGATGTTAACCAACTAAAGAAAGAAGCGCTGAACGTGCAGTAATGTGTCATAAAGGTAGCAAAATGTAAACAAAGTAGTTTTTTTTACTTTCATACAATATAATAATTCACTATAATTATACCAATATTGTCTTGCAAAAGATATTCCAAGTATATGGCAAATAAGTAATACTTTGAAAACTGTAACAAGATAATAAAATTTGAAAGTTTATAAAAAGTAAAATTTGTAGCATTTCTGGAGCATAATTGGCCTTTAACATATTCATGCTGTTTAACAGTTTTGCAGGCTTTGGGTAACATATTCCATCAAAGATTTTCCCATGGGATGCGTGTCACCCATGGGAGGTAAATTTTTCACCGTTTCCAATAACAGCGTTTCCAGGCCAGGTTCTTTACAACTCCCGATAACTAAAGTCCGTCTCAACACACTGTCTGAAATAATGTAAAAAAGATGGAGATTTGTATCATACGGTGGCTCAAAAGTGACATCACAAAAACTTTTGTTGTTGTTGTTGTTGTTGTAGTCAACGTTTAAACGAAATGATGATTTGTTTAAAATAAATAACGGAATATTTAAACGGAATATTATATCATATTTCTTTAAACGAAATGAGGTTTCAGTCAAACGAAAAACAACAACAACTTACTAAAAACATCATGACACAAATATCAAGTGTATATTATGCCACATCAGGGCATATATTGTATATATTGATATGTTTACATATTTTATTAAGCACGTAGCATTGTATAAGGTATTTTTATGATATAGTATGCGGTACATTTAAGATAACAAGACGTAATTCACGTCTCTAATTTTATGGTAATAAATCTTAAACTTTGATTTAATTTTTTTTTCATGATTTTGTCAAATAATGAAATTATTCAATTAAGAAAATTATTAAGAAAAATGTTTTCATTAATTGAATACATTATTTGAAAGGTTATAATACTATATGTATTAGGCTACCTGAAATTCGCACAATTGTTTTCTAGTTTATGGCAATGTAACAAAGCGAAAATATAACAATGCAAAAATGCAACAATGCTTAAATGTAAAAAGTGAAAACAATGTAGCATTACGAAAAAAGCGACAACTACACGACAGATATACTGCAAAGGGAAAGCAAAACGCAAACAAACAAAACAACAACAAAAATCAAACAAAAGAAAAACAAACAATAAATAAAAACAATGTGCACTTTTTTGTGCCGTATCTTTGCCGACATTTTATTTTCCGCCTCGAAAAAACGAGAACACAAAGAAACGAAAAAACGAGACCACAAAGAAACTTGAACCTTTTCGTATATTGGTGTTTTCGCATTTTCCGTGGAAATTGAAAAGACGCCATGGCGTAAATCAGCCACCATACATAACAATATGCATTGTGGTTTATGACAAGACCAGTTATAGATTTACATTCCTTAAAGGCACATCATGCATCATAATTAAATATTTTTCCCCTTTTTGAAAAGGTAAACACGAGTTTTATAATTTTTAAACGGTTTAAGTGAACGTTAAAGATGCCTGTTACCTGAAGAATTTTGTCATAAAGTAGCGAAATGTAAACAAAGTAGTATTTTCACTTCTATACAAAATACATTTTCACTGTAATTGAATACTTATTTCCAAAAAGCAACACATGAAAAAGATGGGTTATGTAATTGGCCAATGAGTAACTCTTTGGATACCATAAAGTACACAGAGTTAAAGAGCTTTCCAAAAATAAGAAATAAGCTTTTCTGAGGCATTATGGGCCTTTAATAAAACTGACGTTGATTACTTACCTGGAAATACATTCACGGTAAAGCCACTGTATCCTAGCCTTGGGGTAAGTTGTGTAGAATTAACATTAGCAATTCTGTTAAGAATGGCTTGAAAGTTTGCATTTGTTTGATCGATGGACCATACAGGATCAACCCTTCCAGAAAATATATGTAGTGTAATTTTGATGTTGCTTCCACCCTGTGCTGTCACTACAATTATAAACACAATCCATTCCTTATTACAGTCTGTCTAAGATGTCATTTAAATGAATGTGAATTTTTAAGATATTGATACGCACCATGGATAAAATAAGACGGCAATAATGAATACGCTTTTTTCATCACGTGAGAATAACACAATAAAGTATAATGAAAAAAGACATTTAATCAATCTTAATCCATGGTCATGATTTAAAAATGATTAACTTTTCTACAAGGGTCATGTTTTGAACATGATTAACTTTGATCATAGTGTTATGTTTTCAATATTGATCAATATTTGAAGTATTTTTTCTGTTCATTAGCCAAAGGCAAGTTTTTGTCGATATTTGCTAATAAAAGTTGTTGTTGTTGTTGTTTATTGATAAACTTTGATCCAATGGTCATGTTTCGAATACGATCAGTCATGATTTTAATATGATCAACTTTGATCTAAGAGTTCTGATTTTATATTATACACTATATACTTTGATCCCAGAGCAATATTTTGAATAACTTCATAGAAGATAACTGTACGGATGTTATTCAATAAATAAGCTTTAAGTTTCGTGTTATAGTCGAGGAAATATTTTTAATTAGTCCAGTTTAATATTTTTAAAAATAAATTACGCAAAGCTGTTCATGTCGTAAAAAGCTGTCACGGTAATGGTTATGACCTGTGGAAAATTATCAATAAAGTGACTTAATGCTAAGAGATTAATGTTAAAGAAATAAGTAGTGATCAGCAAATAAATTTCATGCTAAATGATGTTTCTTAGATGTGGTTCTTATATTAGATCTGTACTTTTTCGCCATCTTGGAAAACGCACGTCTTTAATGAGACGCTGGGATAAAAGCCGACAAGACGGTATCGTTCCGTGACAACTTGACATTTGTTTTTAAACTCGTCACTTTGATGTATTACTTGTAAACAAATAACTCTTGCTTGTAAAAAGATATGCATAATTTTTTTAAATGACATTTGTAAACACGACATCTCAACCAATTCAACAATTTAAATTTGTTTACATACAATTTAATGAATTTTCATTTCCTTTCGAATGTGTTTTCGTAAATCATAAAGTTATTTATAGAGCGCACGTGATTTAGACAAACTAATTCAACTTATGTGTTCGTAGAAGATAATGTTTTGGAGTATAAATCATTTAATATGATTTCATTCCTACCATAGTATCATCTTTAACAGTCTGATAGATTTTGTATAAATACAGTATTTATACATAAATAAACATATATGATGTCCAAATATTTCAGAGGCCACAAGAAGGTGACCTCCTATTGGTGCCCGTCAGATCCTAATGCGTAGCACTACTTGGGCGCTGATTTTAATCAGATTCATGTTTTGTGACAACCTAAAACAATCATGACTACCTCCTCTGTTATCCTGGCGTGCGCTGGGTACCGTTTATATGCATGTTTGAAATAAATATTAAATCTGTATTAATTTTGTGCAAGTATTAATATGCAGTTTTAAGTAAATGATAAAATTTTAAATATATGCAGACAAAATAGATTTTGGATAACCACTCGTATAGGGTTCATTCTGCTTTGAACAAGAGTTGTCGGTAGGACAACGTGCTCGACTATTCTAAATGTTTGATAGTAAAACTGGAGCCTGGATAATGTAGATAAGTTAAAAAGGACATAATTCTGTAAAAATAACCCATGTTAGAATTATAGACCCTCTTTAGTGACCTTCTTTTAAGCTCCCAAATAATTGTTTTGAAGTTTCAAACGATTCCCTTCAGTTTTTTTCTTTTCAAGTACCACATTGTACGCAAAAACTTAACTAACGTTTGGCGCCGACGCCGACGTGCGTATCTCCCTATTCTTCGAATAGTTGGACGAAAAATTACTTCGGACACAATTCTGTGATTAAGGACTGTTACAAAATAAAGATATTTTAGCTTTTAACAAGATTATTGGCAATTGTACTAAAACCAAATATAACCATTCTGACATTAAAATGGAAGGCGTATCTTTTTGCTTTTTTCAGCGAAATAAAATATAAAATTTCTTACCTACAAATATACATGAAGCTAAAATAATTACAGCCGAATACACGGCAATGATAGACAAATATTCCATTCTGGTGAAAATTAAATGAAACTATGTTGAAAGATTATATGATATACATATAGTCAACTATTTCTAACATGTAACCAACATTTATCAAATTGGACTAAAGATAAAATCATGTCCTATTTACATGACGCTCAGTAGGAACGCAAACACAAACATTATCTTTTTTCACTAAGTTTAATTTAATACGCAATTTATGCGGCCAGTGATATATATATTATACAGTTATTGACACCGACAGATGACATATTTACCCAGGTAATGCTTTCTGTTTGATAAGTGATTAGTTGACTAGTGGTGTCCTCTGTGTAATTTGTGAGTAATGTTCTCTATGTACTTAATTCTTAGTTTTTAGTGATTTGTGTGTAATTTCCTCTGTGTGCTTTGTGCTTTGCGTGGCATGTCCTCTGTGTGATTTGTGCTTTGCGTGCCATGTCCTCTGTGTGATTTGTGCTTTGCGTGTCATGTCCTCTGTGTGCTTTGTGCTTTGTGTGCCATGTCCTCTGCGTGCTTTGTGCTTTGCGTGTCATGTCCTCTGCGTGATTTGTGCTTTGCGTGTCATGTCCCCTGTGTGATTTGTGCTTAGTGTGTTATGTCCTGTGCGATTAGTATGTCCTGTCCTCTGTGTAATTTAAGTTATTATTAATTTCTCTATGTCATTTGTGCCATTTTATGTGTGATAGTGGTTCTCATGTTAACTGTATAGTTTTAGAATTTTTATTAATTTTCTTTTGTGTGTGTTTTATGTGTGTGTGTGTCTGTGGTTTGTATGTGTTTGTGATGTGTATGTGTGTGGTATGTTTGTTTGTGTGATGTATGTGTGGTGTATGTCTGTTTGTATGTGAATGTGTGTGTGGTGTATGTATGTGGTGTATGTATGTGGTGTGTGTTTGCATGGTGTGTGTGTGTATGTGTATGTTTGTGTGATGTTTGTGTATGTGGTGTTTGTATGTGGTGTATGTGTGTGGTGTATGTATGTGGTGTGTGTTTGTATGTGTGGTGTGTGTGTGTGTGTATGTATGTGTGGTGTTTGTATGTGTGTGTATGCGTGTGCTGTTTATGTATGTGATGTGTGTTTGTGTATGTATGTGGTATATTTGTGTGGTGTGTGTGTGGTGTATGTGGTGTGTGTGTGTGTGTGGTGTGTGTGTGTATGTTTGTGTGATGTATGTGTGTGCTGTTTATGTATGTGATGTGTGTTTGTGGTATGTGCATGTGTGTTTGGTGTATGTATGTGGTGTGTGTATGTGGTGTATGTGTGTGGTGTATGTGTGGTGTGTGTGTTTGTGTTTGTGTGACGTATGTGTGGTGTTTGTATGTGTGGTGTATGCGTGTGATGTTTATGTATGTGGTGTGTGTGTGTAT